TTTGTTTCCCACATAGGTTTTTCCTGGAATGTGCAGCTCCATTTCTCTTAGGTTTCGCAAGAGGTTTATCTTAAGGAAAAATAAAAATACATTTTCTGCACGGCTACACAAGTAGCACACTACTGATGCTGGTTTCATTATTTTATTCAGTACCACTTTGATAGAAATGAACAGAATGGCAGGAGAACTTGTAGGTGCTAATGAACTGAAAATCATTAGTAGTTTCGAAAACCTCCCCTTCCACCAAATTGTCAAACAGATTTTTCATCCAGAAACTCCTTTTTCTGATGGCCTAATGGGTAAACAAGCATCAAAAACGTGACCCTCCCTTGAAATAACAACACATAAAAATAATAGCATTCCTAAAGTGGAAATAAAGGCTTTATAAATTTTGGTGAAAGTTAAGCACTGAAAGTAAACCCCATCAATAACATTAATTTAGCCTCATCAGCAATTTAGGAAATATAACATTTTCATTTTAAATGTAAATGAGGGATGCTTACAGAAGTATTTAGCATTTGTGAGGGGCTGATGTTTTTTGTTTAGCTCTTGACAATGACATGAAATTCCCATTGTGACAACTGATCTCTTGAGTCTGCCTAGCACACGCTGAATTTCTGCACAATAGCTGGATAGTCTCATTGCTGGTTGTACAGCACCCAAGTGCATCCTATAATTTTGCATGCCAAAACATTACCTGTCTTTTCACCAAAGGTGAATGAGTGTTTAACTTGTAAGAAACAAAATCACAAGGGAGGCATCAAAAGAAATACAAAGTTGGAGATTTATGTCTGTAAGAGATTTCAGTTCTTCTTTTTATCAGAGGCCAAAGATAGATAGTATATGCGTCAGGGGGGAAAAACAAAACAAAACAAAAATCCAAAACACACTGAGGCAGAACACACTCTAAATGATCCCATGAAATCTTAATTACTAGGTTCCTATCTGAAAACGCGATCTCCTTTTTATCTTGTCTTCCAAGCTGCTTGTTTCCCCAGTTCACTGCATCTCTTCAATGGATGCCAAAGCAACCTCAATCCAGCACATTACAATTAAACAAGACTTCACCATTAAAATAATACCTTTGCCTACATCAGAGATGACATGCATGCTCTAAAAATTCAATGTGGGATGCAATGTTGGTCTCAAAAAGCAGCTGATACAAAAATATGTCCTGTTAACTGAGAAATCCTGCCTAAGAGAACATTTTTAGCATTTTCCTTGAGGAACCATATGCACAGCTCTTCTTTTACAGTTTTCTCATTTTAATTTCCTTTGATAACCATCATAGGATCAAGCAATAAATGTCAGTTATTTAGGTATTTTATCATTTATAATTGCCTTCTCCCAATAAATCTGAAGCACCCAAAAGGGGGAGGGGCAGGCAGGGAGAAGGATCCAACTGCTTTTGATATCTACCTTGCTTTGCAAACCAATATTTCAAAATACTAACATATTCTCTTATTACCTAGTAAACATGCGCAATCACTGAGTCTGAATTAAATAAAACATAAAACGATGTTTCACCTGTCAGCCACTCAATATGTAGTATGTATGTACCTTACAATGTTCATTCTTGGCACTTCTGGCTTTCTCATCCAATCTTCGTCATAGACTTTAATTCGCAGGTCTCTACTCCCCAGTAACACATGACCACACGTTTCCATACACTCCCACCCAACTACACAGGAAAACCACAACTTTGCCATGTACTATTTACATGGCACAGGCAAGCAAGTATCCTCTTTAAGTATCATCTGTAAGATGGGAAATACCCAATTTGCAAATACACTGTGAAGATGAGATGTGGCCTAAATAAGGTATCCTGGACATAGCAGGCTCCCAACTGCACGTGTTTTGTCATTTTCAGAGCAAGGGGTAGCAATAACAGCTTTGCCTTCTTTGGACTAGTCATGTTACCCCTCAAGCATTTTTTTAATTGACAAGCCCCTGGAACAAAGATGTCCTTAGGACTACCATTCCATGCAACATGACGATCACATGTCAACAGATACTTGGATGAAGTTAGTGAGGAAAAAGGCTCATTCACTTATTACAGTCTGCTTAACTTTTTTTTGTTTTCAATAAGTTCTTGTTACATGTAAAAAGTAAAACAATTTCCTTTTCATTGATAACTTCTCAAGACCTGATTCTAACATGGCAAACCTGAACACTTTGAAACTGCACTTGCAAATTTTTTTCATTTGTAATTTCTCATGCCTAAAAACACAGAAATCCTAGATGTACATAAGTGGCAATAAAGGGTAAACAACAAAAGCAAAATATCCTCCTCCAATCCCAAACCAACTGCCCTATTTTTAAAAATTGAGATTAAAAAGTTCCCATTTTCATTACACTTTGCTGTAAATATTCTGTACTAACACACAGAATCAAGTTTCAAAAGTCAAGATTATTTAAAACGGTCATTTCCATTCACAAAGTTATCATCCCAATATTTTAGACCATATGTTAGATTCTATACCACTACAGAGCCTTAAATGACAAGGTTCTTTAAACACTGCATGGCTCATGAGGCCATCAAGCGTAATAAATCATTTCAAAAGCTATTTGTTCATCTGCCTTGAGGACTCAAACATATTACATCTTGCAAACTTATCTAATATATTCTCGCGGGTAAACACCACTGAAAATATGGTCTGCTTTAGAAAATCAACACACACACAGACACACACAGCCCCTATGTATTCTTTAAGTTCCTTTTCAGGAATAAGCCAATACTTAACAATTTAATCCAAATGGCGACATACTATAGATGACAACCATTTTCCCCCCCAAAGTAATAAATTCACACTGTCTTCTCAGCTGTTACCGATATGGCAACACAGTATATTGCCTTGGTTGGTTTCAACCATTTTGTTCCTTCCCACATCTCTGACCCCAAATAAAATATCTAATGTGAGGAAATCACAAACTCCTCAGGAAAATGTTAGTTCACTCAGGACTATTAAGATACACAAATGATAAGAGTATCATTTACATATCCTCCTTTTCTAGAGTAATTAAGTACTGGCTGACAAAAGCTGAAAACAATTTGGGTTTGACTCCGAAGCCTATCATTGGAGAGTAACATTTAGGAGAGGGACTGGACAGGACAGTCTGTGGGTCGGACACAAAGCCTCTATCACGGCCAAGATTTTCAACAAGCCACATCCTCCACCAAACGTACAGGCCAAATGAAATTTTCATAATTCATAATGCAATTAACAAGAGACAGCCACGACAGGGGCCATTAGCGCTTTACGTTCATACAGCATTCATCAGCTACACATACATAGTCATGAAAGTAGCAGGTGACCTTAAATTCGAAATGATAAAACTAGTTCTTTGATTTAGCCTGGACACGCTAGCCTACAGAGGACAAAAACACAGAAAACTTCCAAACTATTTCATGTGCAAATATGCACCAGTGTTCATGCAGATTTATATCTTCAGAAGGGGAGAAGAGAGGGCTCTTGAAACAACTATCATGGGAATGTTACCAATCGAGATTAATTTCTCAGAGAAACAGCCAAAAGGAAATCCGATACTTTCGGTTATCGTATTAACTCAGTTGAGACAGTTACCCGAATCCTACTGAAGCAAGCGAACGTTCAGACTAAAAGGAAAATTCACGTCTAAGGATGGTCGCAGTCTAGCACTCCCCCTCCCCCACTTAAAAATCCCAGGGCTTAAATAATTGGCCACTGTGTAGTTTCTCCGCAATCCCAACTCCTAACATACTAACATGCCAGGGGAAAAGAAAACCAAAATCTAGCATTGCAACAGAAAGTTGACTGCCGCGGAATCAACCATAAAGCCCAGAATGGCCCTAGCACAGCCAGAAAGCAAAGGCACGTGAAGCCGTTCTGGGGCAGCATACCAACCATTTCCCAAGCACCCTAACAACGCCAGTGCCCCCCACCCCCACTTCGGCGGAAGATGAAATGTAACCTAGATCCACCACCGAATTTCTCACCTGAGAAGAGACAGCTCATACACTCCCTGTCTAAAAAAGACACAGACCTTTCCGTTCCACTCGGGCGATCCATTTCCTCAGCCCAGATTTTCTTTTCTTAACACGCTGAAATACAAGTCGTTCCTTCGGACTTGACAGTTTTCTGAACCGATAAGAGAAACTTTCCCATCGAGACTAATGAGCCAGATAAAAATTAGACCTACTTCTCCTTCTTCAGGAATCTCGGCTCGCTACTTCTTCCAATTCGACGACAAGTAAAACCACCAGAATCACATTAATTATTAAATTACAGGCTGCATATCAAACCATCACGATTACGTAAAATTCACCTCTAATTTCTGCAATAGATCACACCTGACTAGCTTCGTGCTTTCTAATTACCCCACCCGCTCCACTCCCCCTCCCCCCGCTCGCCCACCTTAGGAAAGGAATCTTTTGCAAAAGCAAAGTCAGAGGAGTGGGTTACTAGCTCAACCAGAAGCTCCTTCAGCCTGGCATTTCGAAGGACACCAGCGTGCACACTCGCGCGCGCACACCCCGCCCCGGACCCCGCGCCCCGCTAGCCGGTTCCCGGGACGCCGCGCCCCGCTCACCCCGCCGGGACCCGGAGACGCTCGCTCCCCGTCCCTCGCCGGGACCCCTGGGCCCCGCCAGACCCCCCCACTCCCCGCTTACCCCTCCCAGGACACCGGGACGCCGCGCTCCCCTCGCTCCTCCAGGACCCCCGACTCGCCGCGCCCCGGCTCACTCAGGTCAAAGCCTGGGACGCCGCGCCCCGCCGGCTGTGCCCCGCACTGCTCCCTGAAGCACGTCCGGCCACTCACTCTCTCTCTCTCTCCACCCCGCGTCCAGCGCTGGCCTCCGACAGCCGAGCGAGGCGGCTGCTGGTGGAGCGGCCAACACGCGTCCCGCAAGCCGCGAGCGCCGCCCGTCCCCCTTGGCACCGCGCGGCGCCGGCCGGCTCGGAGCAGCGGAGGTCGCTCGCTCGGCCCTCCCCAGCGCCGGGCCCGGCGGCTCTACTCACATTCTGTCGGGAACGAGGAGGCGGCCCTCGACCATCATGTCCGGGAGGAAATCCAGCTTGAAGGCAGAAGTCATGTTCTTGGGCGCACGCGGCGGCGGGGGCGCACGGGCGGGGGGCGGCTCTGCGCGCGTCCGAGCGGCCGCGGGCGGCGCGAGACGGGCAGGGACAGGTGCGCGCGGCCTCCCCCGGCGGCCGCCGAGCGGGCACTTGTCACATTCTCTCCCTGGCGCTCTCCGCCAATCCCCTCCGAAACCCTGCGCTCAGGCGGCCGGCAGCCGAGCGCCAGGTGCGGCGGGGCGGGGGCGGAGCTCCCCGGGCGCCGGCTGCGCCGCTGCTTAACCCCTGCGGGTCCGCCCGGCCGAACCCCGGCCCCCGCCCCGCCGCCCGGGGGAGGCCACCGGGACAGGGCAGGGCAGGCCAGGCCCGCTAGCTGGCTGGCTGGCTGCCCGCGCGGAGGAGCTGAGCGCTCTCCGTCTTCGGGCATAGTTACCCCACTTTCCTAAGGTCCCTTAACCTTCGCAGATGTTCGCTCGTTTCCCTTGCCCTGGCTCTGCTCCACTCAATTCCCCCACTGCCACGGCACCTGGCACGAGGCCGCAGTGGCCACTTGGAGTACAGGTTTGGCGTGCCTCTGTAGTGCCCAAAGCCTGACTCACGTCCAGACCAGAAGGCGCCCCCAAACCGAGGCCACAGGGAACAAGAAGCTCCACGAGTGTCGGTGTCATTGCTCCGAGCTAGCCAGCAGACCTGGGAGTGAACCATCACTGACTGGTCCTCGTGGTGGAGGCAAAGTAAACATGCGATAAATGGCCCAGTGACATGCAGAGACTTAGGGCATGTCCGGGAGAAGGCATTGATCCATCTCCGTACAACTTTCCTGCCTTTTGCATCGTCTTGAAAACACTACCAAGTATGAGCGACTGAAAAGAACAGTAATCAATCACGTTTTCTTTTAAAATAATAAATCACGAGGTCTGTCATTTCCGAGGATTTCACATCATAATTAAAAATCAACAGGGTGAGACTTTAATGAGTGTTAGGTCTACAGAGTAATAGCCATGCGCTTAAATACTCAAGATTTTTGACTGATTTATGAGCACTAATAAGAATACGGAGGAAAAAAAATTGGAACAAGGCTATAAACAGTTTAATTTTTCCAAGTGATCTGGGAAAGTTTTTGAAAGCTATATCGTTGATAAAATGACATCCTAATTTAGTTTTCCTATTATTTGGTTGTTGACTACGTATTTACCAATCTGTGAAACTTCTTCCCAACATGTGTCACATTCTAAATTGGCTTTGTAAATTGCATACCAAAAGTGTATAGTCTGCCTCTTTTTGTTTATTTTGTAATGACATAGCTCAAACTTTGAGGGTACTGCACGTGCACACACACACACGAATGCAGTAGACGCTGTTAAAAGCATAAACACATATTATGACTTCATTAAAAACATCTGATTTTCATTCCATCTATTATTCTAACAGAAAGTCAGACACTGCTTTGGAGCTGGGCTTTTCCCTCACAAACCAGGCATTCCTTGGGAATACAGTGACAGGAGCCAGGAGCTCCAACTAAGCCACCAGTAATTAAGTGTATCAGACACAATCTGGAGAAAAGGTTTTAAAATATTCTCAATGATTTCTTCTGTGATAATGAACTATCTGTAGATGTTCTTAAGGACAATAGATTTCACTTATCATGTTTAAATCTACGTTATGAATATTACCACAGTCCTGATGGAACGAGCATTACCGAGTCACCATCGTGCGATACTTTACTAGTCTCTACATTTTACTTACTGATTGCCTTTTTCAGCTGGACACTGTCTCTGGCTTTTAACCTTCTAATTCTATCTCTACCTGAGATAGTCAGATGTAACATTAGGTTAACCTTCCTTTGAAAAGATTGCCTTTCCAGATGAACCAAGCCTAAGTCTGTAGGATTTAAGACACAGCTGCAATAAGATGAATTGTTATGTCCACAAATGTCCAAATTTCCCCCAATAATCCTAAACTACAACATTCCCCACCCCAGCAACTGCTGACAGCCTTTGAAATGAAAAGATTTTCTGTGGTCTTCAAGTTACCATGATAAAGTGATTAGATGGATAAATGAGGACAAACCTTGATAGCTCTTTCTTTCCCATATATTATTTACAAAAATCTTCAAGGTATATAATGGGCTGACGATACAACATATTTAATTTAGAAAGAGTGAATGATGTGATCTCCACGACAGAACCCAAACCTAACTGCGTTGACCACATGAAAATATTTTCAAATCAGCTATCAAAAAAAGCTTTGTGTGTGGCTATGTTCTATAAGGCAAAAAATGCTTCATTAAAATGTACACTTCTGAAATATTTATTTTCTCTTTAATTGCATGTGAATTAGCTAGAAGAAGCTGTAGGGAAGCCCTCTTACTGACTTAAGCCTTCTCAGCAGTTTGTTAAATTCTAGCCTCAAATCCCTTGAGGCAATAGTGGATTCAAAGCAGCTTTTAATCATACTATAAGGAGGGTGAAGTAGTATGTAAGTAGGTCATAGACAGAGAATTACAAGTGCATAGGTTATTGCCTTATTTAACAACCACAGTGGAACACAGTTTTCAAAGCACATTTGCTTATACCATGTAAAGTCAGAAGCAAAACCACGGTCAAATATAAAAGAAAACTCACTGCGCATGGGAGATGGTGACATGAAGCAAGGAAAGCTTATGAAGTATAGCTGAGTTAAAATACTGTGGCTATCAAATACATAAATAATGTAATCATAGCTCAGGCACCGGATGTAGATGCCAGAGGGAAACAAAATCTGCATACATTCACACACCCTGTAGGGTATGCACAACAGTCTTCCAAATGGAGCTTTCATTTCTAATACCTATTCAGCTTCCATAATCACAGCATACACACAATAGCTGTTTTCAAAAAAATTTTTTTTTTCAAATGCTCTTGGGCTTACAAACAAAAACAAAACAAACACGCAACCAATATCACCTGATGAAAAGCTTAAATATCTCATTTCTCTGCTCTGGCAGAAGGGGAAAACATCTTAGCAACAAAGCAATAGGATCTCTCTTTTTTTTGTCATGTGGTCATGAGCCATCAGGTATCATATTTTGGCACTTGGAGTTATCTGGTAGACAACTTCACCGGGCCACCGCAGGAACACTTGGGTTCAATGAAGCTATGTTATAGCCAAGGATCTTCTGGACAGCAGCAAAAGGGGATGAGGCCACCAGCAAGTTGGTCTGGAGGACATGAACCGGTTGGTGACACCACTAAGCGCTGGCATCACTGTGGATGGAGTCTGAGAGGAACAATGAAGTTTCCTCAGTTTTAACTCCATTGTAGAAAAACCTTAAGCTCTTCTCTAGTCCCATCCCCCTACCTTCCCTAATTGTCTCCTTTTTTTAATCAACTTGCTATTCATTTCCCAAACAAAAGGCAATTCAGGAATTGGAAGCACTTCAAGGGAAAGTTTCTGAATGACCTCATTTTATAGGAGGCCTTCCAAGGCGAACAAGGGCCCTCTGCTGTTTCAGTTCCCCACTTTCCTCCTCATCCTCACGCTGAGTTTTGTCCTGTGACTATTGTTTGAGCCCTGAATTATCAATAACATTTCAAAACACTCTCAGTAGAAACAGACTGCTAATAAATGCATTTGTGCATCTAGTACACATGGGCTAAATCCTTTGCCACTCCAACAGTGGCAGAATATAGCCTATCTACTACAGATGCTTGAATATTTCTGTACAAAGTATATACCATAGAGACGGGCAGCTGACTTAGTGTAAAAATGTTTATAATCAATGAACTCTCTCCTCCTGAAGACAACCCTCTATATTTGAACATATTTTCATTCTGCATAATTTCTATAATCCTAACTTTATACATAACTTCCCCAATAGGTCTTTGAAAGCAGTTGCTATCAATCCTGGGATTACATTACCAGGACGGATCAGTGTTGCATGTTAGACTCAAAAAGCTAGCTTTTTTGAAGAATTTCTTGCCTTCCCCCGCCCCCCCCAACTTCTGGCTAGTCATCACAAACCAGAATTCAAAACATCTTTCCCCTATCGCGCTTTCAAATTTACATTGTATGAGAAAAGCTTTTTCAGTTGAAAAAAATAAAAAACCCACCAAGGCCAATGTGTTCAGAGCCATTTGGAACAAAAAACATAGCCCTTATGAGGGGATTTCCCATCATTTCCAGGCAATAAATGTGGAATCCACATGAATTTTAAGTACCTGAGAGAATATCTGACTTTGTGCTCATGTATTTGTTCTTGGCTTACTCCAATTTGATAAGCAAGTTGCAAAAATAAACAATGTTTTTTGTTCAGATGTGCTTTTAAGAAAACACCCAAACAAATCCTTAAGTAATATGCTGTAAACGCATCTATTTCTTAGCTCCATAAAGGTATCACATAAAAATCAATATTTATAACACCAGTTTAAAACAAGCTTTTATTGTTCCCCATTTTGAAAGCTTCTGGAATAGTGACTTTATCACAATTCCAAAATGATTTAAGCAAAATTAAATGCCTGTAAAAATGAACTGATTATTACAACCTTTCTTTTATATTTTTAAGGGAATGTTAAGTAGTCAATCTCCCTGGAGAACAGCTTCTACTGGCTTTCTGCAATCTTGGGTCTTTCTGAATCTGTTCTTCCTAGAGCCAAGATACAAGATAGCAAATCGACTTCCTTCTAGAGAAACCCTGCAGGTGAACATGGTCATCGGTACATACCTGCGGAAGTGCCTGTGAGATGCCCCGCTAGGGTTTTCAGAAGCTTCCACTTGCAATGGATGAAATGTGAACACCTTGGATCTCTCACACCCAGACCCCAACCATCTCATCATCTCCCTCCCTAACCTGCCCTTGCCCTTTTGCCTTTTTTCCATTCTACACAGACACAGCTGTGTGTCTGTCTGTGCAGGTGGGTGCCTAGCAAATGAGCCAGGAGCAGTGGGCTGCTGAATCTGTGAGAGGAATCAAGTTTGACCAGCCTTGACCAAGGGTGGTTTCTGAACTGGGAACAGCTGTTTTTGCATTGAACAGTGGGATTCCTTTGTAGACATGACCATGGGGAGTAGAGGGAGGAGGGACAGGCAAGGGGGTTGAGGGAAGACTGTGTACCATGAAGTTAGTAAATAGGATGTGAACATTGGGGAAGGAGAAGCTTAGGAAAAAGGGCAGGGAGACAAAAAAAAAAAAGCTTCCCTGTCTAGCACAG